TTTTTTTTTTTTTTGCGGAACTGGACATTGAACTCAGGCCCTTGCACTAGCCAGGGAAGTGCTTATTCCACTGAGTCATCTCCCTATATGCCCATATGTTTACAGTGTCTTAACAAGGATGGAGAGAAAGTGGGACAGTCCAAGCAAGGTGATGGAGAGTTGACTCTGCCCAGGTTTCTTTTATCTCTGAGATAGGTTAGAGGCTAAACCACAGCTACTTTAGACAGGATAAAGTTAACACATTCACAAAAGTCATCCAACTAAGGACTGAGAGTTTTTGGAGGTTCCCTACAACTGCTGAGCCTAAGTACTACATTTGAGTTTTGTTTTTTCTAAGGTGAAGCTGCCATCCCCTATAGTAGCACTAGTGAAAATTATAAAACCATAGTAGTTCACTGGTTCATATCACAGATCCATATTCAAGTATATACTGTGCACCTGAAATTAAGGGCAGGTAGGCAGAATTCCCTACCTTCTAAGGGGAAAGAGATATAACAACTATAACGCCATGCACACACATCCCTTGATCACATTCTCTCTTCTAGTCTTCCATAAGTTCCATCTCTTAAAGTATGTGTAGTAAAATAATTAGTTGGCATACTGAGGGTTTACTTTCAGAGTGTTAAGTGGGAAGGTAACAGTTTTTCTCCTACATAAAGGAGAACTGACATCTACTTTAAAATGAAAAGCTAGCCAAGAAGAATCATGTTTAACTAAACTCCAAGATCCCAGAGAGTTTTAAGTATTTAGTTCAACCAAGTATCACTTCTTATTATACTTATCCAAGTATTAATACATGGAGTTAGAAAAACAGAAATATAGGCTGTATCCTGTACTTCCAAAAGTTTCTAACCCTTGCCAGCATGGTGATACACACCTGTAATCCCTACACTTGGGAGGCTGAGGCAGGAGGATCCTCACTTATTTGAGGCCAGCCTGGACTACATAGTTATCATGGAGTGATCAGGCCCACAATCTCCCAAACAAGTGGACAGTGAAGACTTTAAGGAGACAAATGCTGTGTGTGTGGGGGGGGGGGGGGTGTATGCAGGGTCTCACTGCACAGCTCAAACTCAGTGATCCTCGTGTTTCAGCCTCCCCAGCACTGAGATTACAGGTGCACACCACCATGCATGAACCCTAAATGCTGTGATTTTTTTGTTTGTTTGTTTTTGTTCTTTTTTTCTTTTTTTTTTTTTTTTCAGTACTGGGGAGCAAACTCAGGACCTTGCACTTGCCAGGCAAGCATTTATACTGCTGAACTATATCTACCTAGGCCAAATGCTGTGATTTTAGGGCTTCAGAAAGATCAAAACACTCTAGCTGAATTCAAGATTTTCTGGAAGCTGAGACAAAGAACTTCTTTCAATATCTTGTATTTGTTTGGTTTTCAGACAAAGGAAGGTAATACTAAGGAAAGCACAGGAAGTAAGCTGGACCTTCCTTGGGAGTCAGTTCAAGTAGTAGGTTATACCAAACAGAAGAACTGCCTTATCTCTAGGTTGACTTTTTTGAAGGAGAGTGTAACTGCAGACTGTAACTATACAGTCTCTATTTAGTTAATTCGGTTTGGAGTCAAATGTCCTCAACTTTGAGGCATCATGGCATCACAGGCCACTACAGGCCTCAGCTGCAACAGTTACTCACAGAGATTCACTGTGAATCTGCCACCTATCTCCAGACAAGAGGCCTAGGCCTGGGACAGACTTACAAGTAAACATATAAAGCCTTTTGGTGAATTTTAAGTCCTGCTCGGAGCTGCTTCGTAGTGGTCTCCATCACATAGCGAGTGCAAGCCTGAACTACATAGGGAAACCCTATCCCCCCCAAAAAAAATCTAATTCAAGGAAAATGTTAAATAATTGTATTTTATCTATATGATGAAATTAATGTAAACAGCTATTACCAATTATCTCCTTTTCTATTGCTATAATAGAGTACCTGAGACTAGTAAGTCTAAGGTTGAATGTTCACCTCCGGTGAAAGTCTTTTTGGTGAGGAGGATTCTGCAATCTCAAAGCCATGCATGGGATATCACATAGCAAAAGAGGCACACATAAGAGATACCCAAATGGACTTTGATAACAGACCTACTCTTGAGAATAATTCATCCATGAATGGACTAACCCATCATGACAGCCAAGTCCTCATGACTTGATCACCTCTGTTTTTCTTTTTTTACTTGTCTGGTTTTTGGCTGAGGATTGAACCCAGGACTTTACTACTAAGTTATAGTCCATTTCCATTCAACGCCTAAAGATTCTACTTAGTCTGGTCTCTTAAAACTTCACAGTGGAGGGCTGGGGAGATAGCTCAGTAGAATAAGCATTTGCCTGGCAAGTGCAAGGGCCTGAGTTCAATCCCCAGTTCCACAAAAAGAAAAAAAAAAAAAAAAACACTTCACATTGGAGATTATGTTTCAATGTGAGTTTTAATTGAGCACATTCAAACTATACCACCAAGCAAGCATGCTTTAAAATAGTGTTCCCCATTTTGGTAGTACTGTGTAAATCTGACGGGAAGAGAAACTATACATAAAAATGGAGAAGTATGGCATTAAAATTAGCCAACTTCAGTACTTTTCAGCACCTTTATTATAAATTCATTCTGAATTTCCCATATAATATCCGATATTTTCTCCACATTGATTCCCTTTGTCAAGATCTTTCAAAAATATCAAGAGTGAAAGAAAGAATCAGGGTTGGGGATACATAGCTCCACAGTAGAACATATGCCTGGGATACATGAGGCTCAGTCCTTGGCACCATGGGGAGAAAAAAGACATCCAAATTAGGACCTAGAGTTTTTGGAGGTTCCCTACAACTGCTGATCCTATGTACCACGTTTGAGTTTGCTGGTTTTTTCTAAGGTGGAGAAGCCATGTGTATCTACCCATGTTCTTAATGTTTGTAGTACAATATATTGAGAATCAGAAAGTGTCTTCATATGCCAAATTTTAATTGGCAGTGTCTTTCTTAACTCACTTAAACAGGTGATTCTTTTAAATGTATAAAGACTATAGAATACTCTTCCCCAAAAAAGAGTAGGGTAAAGCTCTGCCTAGATTTGGAAGCCATCTCAAGGTGACAGCAATAAATAGGAATGCACTTGGTCCACACTGTCATTTTTACAAGTCATACTAATAACTAAACACTGAGTACAACGGTTCTATTATGGTTAGGAAAATAACCCTTCCCCCAGCCACTTGTTTTTTATTGAGACAGGGTCTTGCTATGTAGTTCAGGCTGGCCTAGAACTCAACTAAGTAACCCAGACTGTCCTCAAACTCAAAACAGTCTTTCTGCCTCAACTTCTGGAGAATACAGGCATGTGCCACCACACCTGGTTTAGGAAAATAAGACTCTTAGGATACCTGCCACTCACCATTACTGCAGAAAGATGAACACAAGCATTTTATTGCTTCTTCCCTGATACACCTTTCAGAGTCTTTCCACCTTTCTCAAAGAGCCAGTAGGAATATCTGCAGGCACTTTGTTATTTGAAGATCAGAGTTTGTATTGCCACCCACACTGTTGAGCTTATCTAAACCCCAACCAGTTACTCTACCCCTTTAAGAGCCACCAATGACAATGAGCTCAAAAGCTTTGGTTGGAAGGCAGTCTTGCTGCAGTGGTACCTAAAGAAAAGAGCACCACCTTCAATTCACATGCTTGCATTTCTCTAGATTCCAGTTTGATTTATGTATAATGCAGTTGGTCAGCTGAACCTACTCTGAAAACATTGTTTTCATTAAGGATTTATAACTTTTTTTAATGCTGAAATTCAAATCATCAACTTGTGTATTAAAGTACACTTACCACAGCACTGAATTCTTTTTAACAGACTTGGAAGAGACCACAAAAACACCTGACTGTTCTAGTGGAACAGTGAAAGAAGAAAGAGGCGACCTTATCAAATTTTACAATACAATATATGTGGGAAGAGTGCAGTCATTTGCATTGAAATATGACTTATCAAATCAGGACCATATGGTACATTTTAAATTTTACTACTTTATTATATCTATAGTTATAGTTGATTATTTTGAATATAGTCTTTTAGGTAAATGTTTCCTAATTTAAAGCTTATTTGATGCTTTATATAGAATAATACAGTAGAAATTAATCAGAGAGAGAGTAGTAACTTAGTCATGATACAAGAGAAATATAAAGTCATAGGAATTTTATTCTGTGATTTCATTGCTAAGACTTACATATATATGTGGAAGAACTAAAGGAGAACATATATATATATATATATATATATATATATATATGTATATGTATATATATGTCTACTACAGCAATTAATTTGTATATTTTTCTGTTATTTTGCTTTCTTTTATTATATTATGAGATAAATGGGGTTTTTCAATATAAAGAAAAAGGAGATAAGTAACCCTAGGTCATTAATAGAGGTAATAGTAAGAAATTTTTGTGCAGACCCTGGTTTTGGCAGTTGCAGTAGACCTAGAACGTGTCACCAGCAAGTCAAGTTAGCTTCCAGGGAGTCCAGAATTAAGCTAAAGAAAAGAAGGTTTTTAAAGAAAGCCATATGCAGTCAGCCTGTAGCCATGTGTATCTGTATGTGTCTCTACATTTCTGTCCCTGTCACTGTCAAGGAATATGGTCTATGGCTAGCCTCAGAGGCCGTATTCATCCTACACCATTAGTTTATCTCTCTTATGCCATGTGCTCTGAATGACTTTACTATCAGCCAATTAGAACTAATTTTATTAACTTCAAATGAAAATGAAGTTAAGGAGCCCTCTCCATTTATATTATTTCTATCAGAATATTTTTTAAAAAATGAAACCCTTTCCTAATTATTTCTAAATCGTCTGCCTTTCTATACCATTTTATTTACATGTTTGTTTCATGTTGGAGTCATCCTTCTGGCTTCTAGAAATCCCTGTCTCTTTATTTTCTCTTCCACTTTCTTGGTTACCACATGTGTGCCTCTGTGTGTGTGTGTGTGTGTGTGTGTGTGTTTAGGACATAATGTTTACCATAATGTTAAAACACTGATTGTTCTTTGTTTCTATTTCCTCTTTTTATGTATTTAGGACAGGGTTTATAGTGTCTCACTACATAGATCAGACTTGTAGTGATTCTCCTGTTTTCAGCCTCCCAAGCGCTGAGATTACAGGCTTGCGCCACCATGCCCAGTCTCAATCCCTGGCTCAGCGTGCCCCAGGGGCAGGGCCAGCATGGCATGCCAGGGATTGAACCCCAGCCTCTGCA